GTAGACTAGGTTAACTGATCAAATTGATTCCCTACTATACGTCCATGCAATATTAGTGTAATACACATCGACCTTACCGAGAATATTGTGTCCTTCAGGTGAATATAAGTCATATTCCAGCTTCATGTGAATAGGTTTCCGAGGGTCCACTTTGTCATCCTGGTGGAAGAAGAGGAAATATGGGAATAGATAAATGGAGAAATATGGAACGGAATACACAGAAGAAATCAAATTGTGAAATCAATTAACGGTGAGAGATGAGAGAGAAAGGACGGAGGGAAGGAAAGAGAGAGAGAGGGAGAGAGAGGGAGAGAGGGAGAGAGAGGGAGGAGAGGGAGAGGAGGAGGGAGGGAGGGAGGGAGGGAGGGAGGGAGGAGAGGAGAGAGAGAGAGATAGAGAGAGAGAGAGAGAGGAGAGAGAGAGAGAGAGAGAGAGAGAGAGAGAGAGAGAGAGAGAGAGAGAGAGAGAGAGAGAGAGGAAGGAGAGAGAGAGAGAGGAGAGAGAGGGAGAGAGAGAGAGGGAAGAGGGAGGGAGAGAGGGAGGTTAGAGGGAGAGGGAGGGAGGGAGGGAGGAGGGAGGGAGGGAGAGAGAGGAGAGAGAGAGAGAGAGAGAGAGAGAGAGAGAGAGAGAGAGAGAGAGAGAGAGAGAGAGAGAGAGAGAGAGAGAGAGAGAGAGAGAGAGAGAGAGAGAGAGAGGGGGGGGAGATGGAGAGGGAGAATGCGAGCGTGAGCGTGAATATGAGTGCGAGTGCGAGTGAGAGTTGTGGAAGTGTAAAAAAAATAAACGATCAGATAGAACGAGACGAAAGTGGTCAATGAAAGGAAACCATACCTTACATTTGGAAAAAAACGTGAAAAAATAGACGCATAATTTGAAAAAAAAGAAGAAACAAAGGAAACACATTTTGGAAAAAAAATGACGAAAACAACAAATGGCTACAAAATTCAACTTAGGATGTGAACACTGCAAAGCTATATATATAAAAAAGAAACAATCAATTTACATTCCGTGCCCTTCTCTTCTCTCTCTCTCTCTCTCTCTCTCTCTCTCTCTCTCTCTCTCTTCTCTCTCTCTCTCTCTCTCTCTCTCTCTCTCTCTCTCTCTCTCTCTCTCTCTCTCCTCTCCTCTCTCTCTCTCTCTCTCTCTCTCTCTCTCTCTCTCTCTCTCTCTCTCTCTCTCTCTCTCTCTCTCTCTCTAAAAAAAAAAAAAAAAAAAAAAGTAGCACTCACACTCAAAAAACAATAAACAACTAAATAAAATCAATAAAACTCACCTTAACCATAACTGCATACTGGAGGCATTCAGTTTCCCGGTTTGTGGCCACAAGACTGATTTCCCTGAAGTTGCTCTTGTTGTCGGTGAAGAAAGCTCGAGGAGAGGGAAAGGCTGTGTCAAGTGTGATGTTTCCCTTAATACCTGGAGGACGAGAAGCATACCATTACATAAAAAGGGGTTAATGGTGTCTCTCTCTTACATACAGTTTTACGCAGGAACTCAGCCTATGTAGAACCATGATTTCTGAAAACTGCTTGTTCTTATAAGCTTTTTTTTTAAATATACTTTTCACATACGTTCATCCTCTTAACTTTTCCGTTGTGAGTTTATCAGTTCCACTTTCACAGCAAGAAGGAAAAATGTACTTACTGACATAACGTGGGACTTTGTAGCCCCTGTATCCCAAGCAGGCAGACAGTTGGAACAGGGTATCATTCAGACCAATATTGGGTGGTTCTGAAGTGAGGCTGCCTGTAATGTAGGCAACAGGTCGACTCCTTAGCACCACTGCATGACCTGACACGAAGCTGCCAATGGCCAGGTCTGTGATTGGGAAGAGAAAGGTACATTTTTAACATCTTAAAAGGCTTGTATTTTCTCCTACATTTCTGACGTTTAAATATACATTCTCAAATTCGGCATTATCACCTGATGCTCCCAAATTATATAATGACTCGTGCTCTATAAACCGGGTTTGGGAGAAGATGCATTTAAGTAAAACATATAGCATAATTAAGTCAAAGTGGAACTCCAAATTCGCCTGAAGGACACATAACCAACAACCTTAATATACACATACATAACGCAGTGAACTAAACCAAATGTCGTTTCCAACTACTTCAACAGACGAGGAAAATAAATTATACAAAGTAAATCATATAAAAATAGGTTCCACCGGTCGTCTTACTCACCTGGATAACCATTCTTGTCGAAGTCGATGCCTCTGGAGAGACCCATGCCAAAGCCCTTCATAGTTTGGGGAAAGTCTTGAGGCTGGAGCTTCTGGGAGTGGGTTTGCCTCAGCCCAGAAGCGGAGCCGAGGTAGATGTACACGGCGCCATCGTCTTCCCAAGGGGCTCCTATCGCCACGTCTGGGTGAGGCGGGGAAGAGAGTCAAGAAATGAGGGGGGGAAATAATCGCTTCAGAGTCATGAGGAAAAAGTTTCTTCAGAGTCAAGAAATGGGAAACGAATAATTTCAGTCAAGAAATGAGGGGAAAAAACTATTCACTTCAGGAAATGAGGAAAAAGTTTTCAGAGTCAAGAAATGAGGAAAAAGTCACTTCAGAAATGAGAAAAAGTTCACTTCTTCCAGAGTCAAGAAATGAGGAAAAAGTTCACTTCAGAGTCAAGAAATGAGGAAGTTCACTTCAGGGTCAAGAAATGAGGAAAAAGTTCACTTCAGAGTCAAGAAATGAGGAAAAAGTTCACTTCAGATCAAAGGGAAAAAGTTCATCTCACTCAGAGTCAGAAATTGGAAAAAGTTTCACTCAGAGGTCAAGAAATGAGGAAGTTCACTTTCAAGGTCAAGAATGAGGAAAAAAGTTCTTTAGAGTCAAAAAAAGTTCACTCCAGAGTCAAGAAATGAGAAAAAGTTCACTTCGTCAGAAATTGAGGAAAAAGTTCACTTCAGAGTCAAGAAATGCGTGGGAAAAACGAATAATTTTCAGTCATGGAAATGAGGGGAAAACTATTCACTTCAGAGTCAAAAATGAGGAAAAAGTTCACTTCAGAGTCAAGAAATGAGGGGAAAAAATAATCACTTCAGAGTCAAGAAATGAGGGGTAAACGAATAATTTCAGTCAAGAAATGAGGGGAAGAAGTAATCCCTTCAGATAAAACGATATATCTGATCGAAACATTACCGTGAATTTCTATAAACAGAACAACATAAAAAAATGTGCTGATAAAAAAATCAATAACATACAGGCTTACAAACGGAAATAGCTTAACACACGCAAATGGATATACTCAATCACAGTATTACAAGCGAATCTATAGTGATGTAGTTTTAAACATCCATAAGTATGAGACACAGAACAACTTCCTCTACACTTAAAATCAAGCACTATACATTATTAATTATTATTATCATCATCATCATCATCATCATCATTATTATTATTATTATTATTATTATTATCTTAATTAATTATATATCATTATCATTTATTATCCTTATTTATCCTTCATACCCGTCCGCATGAGTCCCCGACACGCGCCAGACTCGTGCCGAACCTCGCGAAGCTCCTGGTGGATCCGTGGTATCGGTAATCGGAACTTACCAACTGCTGGTCCTATTAGAGAGATATTTTGCCTGTGTTAGACTAGGTGTGGTACTGTAGGGTACTTTAGGATACTAGGATAAGGACATCAGATACTTTCTTCTTTTAGTTTGTAGTTAATCTTTGTAAGTGAGTGTGAGAAGTCGTTTTTTTTTTATAGAAAACGGAAGATGATATAAACACCTCAATATTTTACGGTTAACTGTATTAAATAATCCCCTTTCACAAACAAAAATCTTTATTTTGGAAACTATAGTTAATCTGCATGATAATCCGATGTATATATATCATAAAATAAATTTGATGAGGGTCTAGCCATCACAATCACAGATCCCTCATTAAAATTCCCCACAACTACGACAGACAACCAATTAACCGCCCACACCCTCCCCTGCCACCCGCTCTCCCTTAGACCCAACTGACCTGCGAAGAGAGGAACACTTGCACCCTCCCTGCATCCGGTTTGTCCTTCAGGGAGTGCATGGGCGCCCCGACGAGCAGATCGCTGAGGCCGTCTCCGTTGACGTCTGCCGCGACCAGAGAAGCACCGAAGTTTTCCCCGAGTTGCTTTCCCTTCCACTCGGCCAGGACGGTGAGCGGCTGAGACTGCCAGTCGGGGAAGGAGAAGACAATCACCTGAGGACGAGAAGTTAGCGGTCAGGATTCAGTTATTCAATTTATATATTATTATTATTTTTATTTTTATTTATTTATTATTATTATTATTTTTTTTTTTGGGGGGGGGGGGGGGGCTCATCTAGATTATACCGTTAAGATTGAATGAAATGAGGTTGTTTAAAGCTGCTGTGATATCGGCCTTATCTTCATCATGTAAATGTAAACAAAAGATAGTTTAGAATACCCGAGGCACTCCTCCTAACGTAATAAAAATGAGGTTAAAAGTGCTTCTCAGAGCCGAAAAGTGTTTCAGACCAATTACCGAAACTGTATATCTTTAATGTTTTGTTAGTTTAAACTTTCTTCTGTAACAGAAACATCGATATGTACACGTTCATGTATTCTGTATCATATTAGAGCACATCAACGTATTTCGATGTTTATAGAGTAATTAAGTAATAATGACAAGAAAATAAATGTGCTAGATGTTTATAGCAGAAATAAACGCATATTCGACCATTTAGTCTGAGTACACCTACACACACGCCTTCAAATCCTAACCATATCTCACCGACACAAAAATCTAACAAACAAAAGAAGACTCACTCGAAACAAAATCTAACAAACAAAAGAAGACTCACTCGAACAAAAAAACAAACAAACCAAAACATCCCTTGAACTGACCTTGCCATGCGACCCGGCCCCTCGAGGAGCACCTCCCACGTACAGGAGCTCGTCCTTTGACCTGAACCGCCCCGAGGTCACTGAATACCCCATGAGATCGAAGTCTTCCATGGCAGAAGTGTAGTACGGGTTGGGTATGAATGCCCTCGAAAACATCTGGTATTCTGGTATTTTCCCCCTGGTCTGTCTTCTGCGTCTTGCAATGCCTCCTACGTGTTGCATGTACGTGTCCTTATAGCGGATGATGGTTCCTGAAGGAGGGGCGAAGGTGGAAGGAGATTTAGTGCTGGTATTTGGGATAACCATTAGTTTGGTACTGAGGCTGTGGTATTCTGTACAAGTTTTTTTTTTCTAGTAACAAAGGTTATAAGTACAAGTCATGATGATGATGGTAATGATGAGGATGATAATAACGTGTATTAATGATAATGATGATAATAACAGAAATAATGATAATGGTTCTGATTTTCACAATGATAACAATACTACTTAATACTAAAATAATGCTACTACTACTAATAATTACAGTCTTACCAACGATAATGATAACAATGATAATCATTCTGATAATCATACTAATAATAACGATAATGATAACCATGAGAATGATGATAATGGTTATAATAATAATAATATTAAAGATAATAATGATAGCAGTAGTAGTAATAATAATAATAACAATAATACTATTATCATTAAAAATAACAATATGAATAATACTCATAATGGTAGCAGTGATTATAAAAATCACGATAATGGTAATAATAATAATAATAATAATAATAATAATAATAATAATAATAGCAATAATACTACTAACAGCATTACTAATCACAATAATAGCAATATTACTCGTAATGGTAGTAATAATGATAGTAATGACGATTATGGTAATAATAATAAAAGATAATGATAATGATGATGATAATAATAATGATGATAATAAAGATAATATTGATAATGATTACAGAAATAAAAGATATAATAATAATACAAATCATATAAAACAACAAGTTAGATGACAATCAGAATGAAGAAAATACAATCTTACAAACCCTATAAATCACAAAATCTCGATAACAAATCATTACCAGCATAGAAGTATAACAAAACAGTAGTATCCGCCATTCATACGCGCTCAACTCCAGTTACAAACACACCAGAAAAAAAGAACAAGTGCTATTCACTCCTAAAGGGATTTAAAACCCTTTTAACCCTTCCCAAAGCTCTACTGTAGATCTGTCAGTGTATGCTATAAACGCCATGACTCTGCAAACGAATCGTGGCAACATGACAGCGTCTGTATAGGCAACGCCACTCACACATACTGTCGCTAGTGATAATCCTTTGGCATGTCAACAAGCTCGCGAACTCTCTTTTCAGCGTCTGTTTTCTTTATTCTATTGGCTTATTTTCCCTTTCTAACTACCATTTAGAAGCTCAGACTACCTTGCAGGGCTCGTCGGGTGTTTCCCAGGGCTTGGAGGTGCTAAGGAGTGGGTTAAAAAGAGCGTTATGGTTGTAGATACGTTTAGGATTTAAATCGAATGTTTAACCGTCTCGCATTGGGAAGTCACACCCAGCGCGCCACTGTGTTGGGGAACTGTGCAGTGGCGCTGTGGATATTCTTAATTGTGTGTGTAAATTTTGCCTCATCAGCTTCAATTTTGTTCATAATAGTAACCAGTCTTGTGATCTTTGAATATTCCGACATGTTGGAGTCTAAACCATTATCCTCGGTGAATATCGCATTTCACATAATCACTCAATTTGAAATTCCCCACGAGGCGAAATGAATTTTAAACTCCTTAACCTCCCAATTTGCAAATATAAACTATAACGGGGCAAATAGGAAAAATAAGTCAAGAGCTCTTCTGCCAAACACACACATACGCGCATGCTTCCCAAACCATGATTTTACTCGCACGGAATCGACAACACGTATCACATATCGAGTAACAATGCGAGTTAATTGAGGAGTCAGCACCACGACAGCCAGGCAGAATAGCAAACGCTGAAGCATCCCTCTGCCTCGCCAGGTGGGCTAAAGGTCAGCTGAGAGCCATTGTTACCAGATCGTCGGCAGCTGTGCAGGCCCCTCCCCTTCTTCCAACCGGTGGCGCGATGCATATTGCTTTAAGTAACTATATATGTCATGTACAGGCACGCCTTTCCTATCATGTCTGACATTTTTAAAGCGGTCTGCTGGTAATTATTTCCCTTCACATCTCTCATCGGTTGAGGGGAAGGGATGGGAAGGAGGAAATGGGTGGGATGGTACACTTAAATTTTAAAACCCGGAACAGATGAGGAGTGGGACAAACTCGTTCTGGAGTAAATTGCATGGACACGAACAGCCGTTGCAAATCCGAACGGTCTCGCAGCATTTATCGATCGTCTGAATTAAAAGAGAGAGAGAGAGAGAGAGAGAGAGAGAGAGAGAGAGAGAGAGAGATAGAGAGAGAAAGACACGAACCGATTTTTAGCAGCGACGCGCCGACGTGAAATGTATACATCAACACCGCCCTCCATTAGAGCGTACGGCATACGCCAACTAAATATAAATGTGACCCTTATGTGTCCTTTATCGTTGATTACGCCTTTTTATTAGCGTAGGCGTAAATCAACGAGATGATTCGACGAGGGATAACAGATGCTATTGATCAATGCCAGCTGATTACCAGGGATTCAAGGGCTTGGTGCTGCCGTCGCTTGCAAGTAGTGTTTACAAGCGATCGGTTCTTAGCATAAAAAAAGTTCAACGTTACTTTTCTTATGCTACTGAGACCATGGGGAAATACAGTCGAAGAATGAGAGAGAGAGAGAGAGAGAGAGAGAGAGAGAGAGAGAGAGAGAGAGAGAGAGAGAGAGAGAGAGAGAGAGAGAGAGAGAGAGAGAGAGAGAAAGAAATTAAGAAAGAAATAAAGGAAGAAAGAAAGAGTGTATATAAATGTGTCTGTGTGTTTATGAGTTAGTGAAGAGAGAGAGAGAGAGAGAGAGAGAGAGAGAGAGAGAGAAGAGAGAGAGAGAGAGAGAGAGAGAGAGAGAGAGAGAGAGAGAGAGAGAGAGAGGGGGGGGGGGGGGGGTAGGGAGTACCATCGCACTTTCGACGTGGTGACGCAATGCATTAGGCGTGTGAACATAAGTAACAAGCCAGTTGTCGCTTAATCTATGGTAATATCAAATCCCAATATTTAAAACACTTTCGCATCAATCCAATAAAAAAAAAAAAAAATATATAGCAAATACTAGTATGAAAAAAATAAATCACACAAAAAATATCTAACGGTATATTCAACACTTGCATGTTACAGCAGAAAAAAATACAAACGACAACAAAGAGGAAGATATCTGTGAGAGAAGCAGCTGTGACAACACGACAAAAAAATCGACTCGGTCTTAATTCGCGAATACATTATAAATGAAGGTAACAGTGGTTCCCGTTCCCCACCACGGCGTCGAACATATTAAGGTCTGATCGTATTCTACACCATACACGAAATATTGCTTCCCATGATCTGTTATCACGGAGCTAGAAAAAATTCCCACACTCCACACAGACGAGATCCATGATACCCGTGACGATATAAAGATTCCGAACACATACTGCACATTTTGAGTGAGATTGTTTACTTTCGAAAATGGATGGATGCATTCGAACCACGGAGGCTCGTCAAGTGTCAGAACAATATATCCTGCCTGAAAGAAGAAAAAATGAGGAAGGGAGAGAACGAGAGAAAATAAGGAAGAAAGAAACAGCCGTGATGTAAGCAGCAATTCGGTAGCAGGATGTTGGTCGGTGAGCATCATTCTCCCGTATCCTTGTAGCATTCCGCACTGTTTGCTAGATTTACGACACTTTCGTCTTTTTCCAATGGTCAAAGGTGTTTTTGTGCGGTTTAGACCACTGAATAATCTTATCAGAACGAAACAGATGCGTTAGAAGCGATTAAAAAAATGATATGGAAGTTAATGAACTAAAAAGACACGTGATATTCCATCTGCAATATACACCCAACACCTCAGACGCAGAAGAGTCAGAATAAATAATAAATTCAAACAAAATAAAAAACAAACAAACAAGATAAACACAAACAAAAAACCAACGAAATACGAAGCAACACATAACCCTGAATATAAATGACTCAAAAAAAAAAAAAAAAAAAAAAAACAGTCGGGAATAACATCAGTAAAAGAACACAGATGTCGGTTTCGCGTGTCCTGTGCATCGTCCTCTCACCTCGCCACTTGTACACACCCGGGGCGCCCACTATCATCTCGGTTGGGTCGTCCGGGAAGTGAAGAGACATACCCGCTTCTCCGTGGGCGTAGTAGAACACCGCGTCGCCATGGGTCTGCAGGGCTGGAAGGGAAGGGCAAAATAGACTCCGTAATTCACTATGGCGACCTACATGGAGTAAGAAATGAGCAAAAGCAAACGTATTATGAAGTTCCCTCAACTCCAGGAGCCATTTGATCCTTTAGATGAAAAAAGTCTTGATGAAAGCAGTGTGTCTGCCGCACGCCCTTGTTGTGACAGGGTGAAGTGTATTCGATTTGGAATGCACAGCAACAACGGAGAATAACAATGTGAAAAAATATATGGAGGTCAATTATTAATATGTCAAAACAACAACTCGCAATAGGAATTAAAAGAGCAACAGAGAAAATAAAAACAAACTGATATTGGATAAAGCAAATTAAAATCGTGGTCAGCAGTCAATCTCTTTATAGTGAAACCTAGGTCAATTACAACAAAATTCATTTCGATCGCGAGTTTATGTCAGAAATGTGACTTTAGACCACGAATATTTACATTATTCAACAAATACGTAAACAACCCAATTTTATAAAAACCTACCCAAGAAAAAAGAGAAACATGAAACGCAAGGAAGTCGAGTGTTTAAAGAAAAAAAAAACAAAAACAAATGAACCAGGCAATTTTCGCCTTTACTCACACTCCTGGCAGTGTGGGCCGGAGCGTTGGGCAGGGACTCGTTAAGCCAGTAGCACGCTCCGTTCATAAGATAATTGCCGAGTAGTTTCTGGTTGATCCACCTGGGCGCGCACACCTGCTTGGACCGGGGGGGGGGGGGTAGAGGGGGGTGGCGTGAAAGGTTAGGAATGGCCCACACTGCAGAACTCTCTGGGTTAGTTCTTTGTTATTTTCTATTTTCCCTAAAGAAGTACATATATTTTGATGATTTTGGATGTGGTGAAGTAAGGAATATAACATTTTAGTAGCTATACCCAAAGATATTTCCCCGAATGTCCAAAAATCACCTATTCCGGTATACCTTCCCGGTGAAACAAAGATACTGGAAAATACTATATTTCCCATTTAAGTTCCGTTTTCCCGTATTTACCGGAAGGATATGTTGAAGTAAGGAATATATTTATTTTTTATCATCTATGCCCCCAAAACAGTTCATCGATTGTCCAAAAATCACCTATTCCGGTATACTTTCCCGGTGAAAAGAGAAATAAAAACTGGAATATATATCTATTTTTTGATCATCTATGTCCCCAAAACATTCTATCGATTGTCCAAAAATCACCTATTCTGTCATACTCTTCCGGTAAAAAAAAAAAAAAAACTGGAAAATGCTACCTTTCCCAGTTGTGTTCAGTTTACCCGTACTTACCGCTGTGATTTGCCTGTCCTCGTCAAAGGCCGGCTGGGAATCGAGAGAGCCTCCGAGCCAGCCGCCGTTCTTCAGGTCGTGGTAACTGAACTCGCTGTTGGAATTGTGAACCACGGTGTTCCCTGTGGAATGAACCGGAAAACTCGCCAGTTAATAATCTGATTTGTTCTCGGTCTCTGTTTAAGTCTCACTCTCTCTGTCTCTCTGTCTCTCTCTCTCTCTCTCTCTCTCTCTCTCTCTCTCTCTCTCTCTCTCTCTCTCTCTCTCTTCTCTCTCTGGTCTCTGTCTCTCTCGTCTCTCCTCTCTCTTCTCTCTGCTCTCTCTCTCTCTCTCTCTCTCCTCTCTCTCTTCTCTCTCTCTCTCTCTCTCCTCTCTCTCTCTCCTCTCTTCTCTCTCTCTCTCTCTCTGTCTCTCAAATCTCTCTCTCTCTCTCTCTCTCTCTCTCTCTCAATAAACGTATCAAAGTAAAAAAAAAATCTTTCTCTCATTTATGAAATATTTCTGTCTCTAGGACAATTTGATAAAATATGAATAAAACAATGCATTCAAAAAGTTCGACTGATAGAAGCTCACTTCCGCTACTGAATGACTAAATTAGAGTAATGAATTTGACATGATTATAAAGCTAATACACGCATCAAATATCAATTATCAATTTCGTTCTATTGTTACTGCTTGTTACAACCCTTTCCTCTCCCTCCCTGATCTTTATCTCATTCTCTAACCCCCTCTCATCCACTTATCTTTATTCCCCAACGTACTGTATTTCCTCTCTCTCTCTCTCTCTCTTCTCTCTTCTCTCTCTTCTCCTCTCTCTCTCTCTCTCTCTCTCTCTCCTCTCCTCTCTCTCTCTCTCTCTCTCTCTCTTCTCTCTCTCCTCCTTTGTCTCTCCCTCCCCCCGTCTCTCTCTCTCTCTCTCTCTCTCTCTTCTCTTCTAACCCTCCTCTCTCCTCTTCTCTCCCTCTTTCTCGCTCTCTCTCTAACTCCCCTCACCCCTCTCTTTCTCTCTCTCTCTCTCACACATCCACAAATACAAAAGCGCACACAAGCAAAGAATTCTTACCCGTTTGGTCAATGTGCAGTTCCTGGCAGGTGTCTCCTTCAAGGCTGCATTTGAACACCACTCCTGGCTCCCTTATAGCCGTGGGTCTGTAGTGGCTTGAGTTCGCACGTGGAGCCCCTACAACTAGCCTGTAGGGGATAAAGTTGAGTCATAGACGAAGAGTAATTTATAGGACGGAAAAAAAACAGAGTCGGTATGTTTTTTTCTGGTTTATTTGTGTGTGGAAGGTCGTCTTCTTTGATATAGGAGGGTATAGGGACAAATGGAATTGTCTGATTTATTATTATTTTTATACGCTAATTCCATCAAGCAAGTTCAGTAGAGATTTTTTTTTACAGTAACGTTCAAGACTTCCTGGCTGTTATATACACTGTCCCTGTATTTCTATGGTTGTCGTGAATTCTTGTGAATAATGTTAGAAAGACAAACTCGTTATTTGTATCTATATTTTAGATTTGACCCTTATAAGTATGAGCTTCACGAGAAAGGCTAATTTGATCCTAACCAGAACCTTCAGTAAGAGCTTCACAAGACTAACGTGAGAGACTAATTTGACCCTTACCAGAACCTTCAGTAAGAGCTTCACAAGACTAACGAGAAAGACTAATTTGACCCTTACCAGAACCTTCAGTAAGAGCTTAACGAGAAAGACTAATTTGACCTTACCAGAACCTTCAGTAAGAGCTTCACAAGACTAACGAGAAAGACTAATTTGACCCTTACCAGAACCTTCAGTAAGAGCTTCACAAGACTAACGAGAAAGACTAATTTGACCCTTACCAGAACCTTCAGTAAGAGCTTCACAAAGATACGAGAAGACTAATTTGAACCCTTACCAGAACCTTCAGTAAGAGCTTCACCTAACGAGAAGACTAATTTGACCCTTACCAGAACCTTCAGTAAGAGCTTCACAAGACTAACGAGAAAGACTAATTTGACCCTTACCAGAACCAGTAAGAGCTACAAGACTAACGAGAAGACTAATTTGACAGAACCTTCAGTAAGAGCTTCACAAGACTAACGAGACAGACTAATTTGACCCTTACCAGAACCTTCAGTAAGAGCTTCACAAGACTAACGAGACAGACTAATTTGACCCTTACCAGAACCTTCAGTAAGAGCTTCACAAGACTAAGACTAATTTGACCCTTACAGAACCTTCAGTAAGAGCTTCACAAGACTAACGAGAGAGACTAATTTGACCTTACAGAACCTTCAGTAAGAAGCTTCACAAAGACTAAACGAGAAGACTAATTTGACCCTTACCAGAACCTTCAGTAAGAGATTTACAAGACTAACGAGACAGACTAATTTGACCCTTACCAGAACCTTCAGTAAGAGTTCACAAGACAACGTGGAGACTAATTTGACCCTTACCAGAACCTTCAGGAAGAGCTTCACAAGACTAACGAGAAAGACTAATTTGACCCTTACCAGAACCTTCAGTAAGAGCTTCACAAGACTAACGAGAAAGACTAATTTGACCCTTACCAGAACCTTCAGTAAGAGCTTTACAAGACTAACGAGACAGACTAATTTGACCCTTACTTCAGTGAGCTTCACAAAGACTAACGAGACAGACTAATTTGACCTTACCAGAACCTTCAGTAAGAGCTTCACAAGACTAACGAGACAGACTAATTTGACCCTTACCAGAACCCTTCAAGTAAAGAGCTTCACAAGACTAACGAGAAAAGACTAATTTTGAACCCTTACCAGAACCTTCAGTAAGAGCTTCAACAGACTAACGAGACAGACTAATTTGACCCTTACCAGAAACCTTCAGTAAGAGCTTCACAAGACTAACGAGACAGACTAATTTGACCCTTACGCAGAACCTTCAGTAAGAGCTTTGACCCTTACCAGAACCTTCAGTAAGAGCTTCACAAGACTAACGTGAGAGACTAATTTGACCTTACAGACTTCAGGAAGAGCTTTAACCTAATTGACCCTTACCAGGACCTTCAGTAAGAGCTTCACAAGACTAACGAGAAAGACTAATTTGAACCCTTTCCAGAACCTTCAGTAAGAGCTTCACAAGACTAACGAGACAGACTAATTTGACCCTTACCAGACCTTCAGTAAGAGCTTTACAAGACTAACGAGACAGACTAATTTGACCCTTACCAGAACCTTCAGTAAGAGCTTCACAAGACTAACGAGAAAGACTAATTTGACCCTTACCAGAACCTTCAGTAAGAGCTTCACAAGACTAACGAGAAAGACTAATTTGACCCTTACCAGAACTTCATAAGAGCTCACAAGACTAACGAGACAGACTAATTTGACCCTTACCAGAACTTCAGTAAGAGCTTCACAAGACTAACGAGAAAGACTTAATTTGAACCCTTACCAGAACCTTCAGTAAGAGCTTCACAAGACTAACGAGACAGACTAATTTGACCCTTACCAGAACTTCAGTAAGAGCTTCACAAGACTAACGAGAAAGACTAATTTGACCCTTACCAGAACCTTCAGTAAGAGCTTCACAGACTAACGAGAAAGACTAATTTGACTTACCAGCAGTAAGAGCTTCACAAGACTAACGAGAAAGACTAATTTGACCCTTACCAGAACCTTCAGTAAGAGCTTCACAAGACTAACGAGACAGACTATTTGACCCTTACCAGACCTTCAGTAAGAGCTTCACAAGACTAACGAGAAGACTAATTTGACCTTACAGAACCTTCAGTAAGAGCTTCACAAGACTAACGAGAAAACTAATTTGACCCTTACCAGAACCTTCAGTAAGAGCTTCACAAGACTAACGAGAGACTAATTTGACCTTACCAGAACTTCAGTAAAGCTTACAAGACTACGAGAAAGACTAATTTGACCCTTACCAGAACCTTCAGTAAGAGCTTCACAAGACTAACGAGACAGACTAATTTGACCCTTACCAGAACCTTCAGGAAGAGCTTCACAAGACTAACGAGACAGACTAATTTGACCCTTACCAGGACCTTCAGTAAGAGCTTCACAAGACTAACGAAGAAGAGACTAATTTGACCCTTACCAGAACCTTCAGTAAGAGCTTCACAAGACTAACGAGACAGACTAATTTGACCCTTACCAGAACCTTCAGTAAGAGCTTTACAAGACTAACGAGAAGACTAATTGACCCTTACCAGAACCTTCAGTAAGAGCTTCACAAGACTAACGAGAAAGACTAATTTGACCCTTACCAGAACCTTCAGTAAGAGCTTCACAAGACTAACGAGAAAGACTAATTTGACCCTTACCAGAACCTTCAGTAAGAGCTTCACAAGACTAACGAGAAGACTAATTTGACCCTTACCAGAACCTTCAGTAAAGAGCTTCACAGACTAACGTGAGAGACTAATTTGACCCTTACCAGAACCTTCAGGAAGAGCTTCACAAGACTAACGTGAGAGACTAATTTGACCCTTACCAGAACCTTCAGTAAGAGCTTTACAAGACTAACGAGAAAGACTAATTTGACCCTTACCAGAACCTTCAGTAAGAGCTTTACAAGACTACACAGAACTAATTTGACCCTTACCAGAACTTCCAGTAAGAGCTCACAAGACAACGTGAGAGACTAATTTGACCCTTACCAGAACCTTCAGTAAAGAGCTTCACAAGACTAACGAGAAAAGACTAATTTGACCCTTACCAGAACCTTCAGTAAGAGCTTTCACAAGACTAACGAGAAAGACTAATTTGACCCTTACCAGAACCTTCAGTAAGAGCCAAGACTAACGAGACCTAATTTCAGTACCAAAGTAAGGCTTCACAAGACTAACGAGAAAGACTAATTTGACCCTTACCCAGAACCTTCAGTAAGAGCTTCACAAGACTAACGAGAAGACTAATTTGACCCTTACCAGAAACCTTCAGGAAGAGCTTACAAGACTAACGAGACAGACTAATTGACCCTTACCAGAACCTTCAGTAAAGCTTCACAAGACTAACGAGAAAGACTAATTTGACCCTTACCAGAACCTTCAGTAAGAGCTTCACAAGACTAACGAGAAAGACTAATTTGACCCTTACCAGAACCTTCAGTAAGAGCTTTACAAGACTAACGAGAAAGACTAATTTGACCCTTACCAGAACCTTCAGTAAGAGCTTCACAAGACTAACGAAGAAAGACTAATTTGACCCTTACCCAGAACCTTCAGTAAGAGCTTCACAAGACTAACGAGAAAGACTAATTTGACCCTTACCAGAACCTTCAGTAAGAGCTTCACAAGACTAACGAGAAAGACTAATTTGACCCTTACCAGAACCTTCAGTAAGAGCTTCACAAGACTAACGAGAAAGACTAATTTGACCCTTACCAGAACCTTCAGTAAGAGCTTTACAAAGACTAACGAGACAGACTAATTTGACCCTTACCAGAACCTTCAGTAAGAGCTTCACAAGACTAACGAGAAAGACTAATTTGACCCTTACCAGAACCTTCAAGTAAGAGCTTCACAAGACTAACGAGAAAGACTAATTTGACCTTACCAACCTTCAGTAAGAGCTTCACAAGACTAACGAGACAGACTAATTTGACCCTTACCAGAACCTTCAGTAAGAGCTTCACAAGACTAACGAGAAAGACTAATTTGACCCTTACCAGAACCTTTCAGTAAGAGGCTTCACAAGACTAACGAGAACAGACTAATTTGACCCTTACCAGAACCTTCAGTAAGAGCTTCACAAGACTAACGAGACTAATTTGACCCTTACCAGAACCTTCAGTAAGAGCTTCACAAGACTAACGTGAGAAGACTAATTTGACCCTTACCAGAACCTTCAGTAAGAGCTTCACAAGACTAACGACTAATTTGACCCCTTACCAGAACCTTCAGTAAGAGCTTCACAAGACTAACGTGAGAGACTAATTGACCTTACCAGAACCTTCAGTAAGAGCTTCACAAGACTAACAGACTAATTTGACCCTTACCAGAACCTTCAGTAAGAGCTTCACAAGACTAACGAGAAGACTAATTTGACCCTACCAGAACCTTCAGTAAGAGCTTCACAGACTAACCTAATTTGACCCTTACCAGAACCTTTCAGTAAGAGCTTCACAGACTAAGAAAGACTAATTTACCCTTACCAGAACCTTCAGTAAGAGCTTCACAAGACTAACGAGAAGACTAATTTGACCCTTACCAGAACCTTCAGAGAGACTTCACTAATTTGACCCTTACCAGAACAGGAAGAGCTTCACAAGACTAACGTGAGAGACTAATTTGACCCTTACCGAACCTTCAGTAAGAGCTTACTAACAGACTATTTGCCCTTACCAGAACCTCAGTAAGAGCTTCTAACGAGAAGACAGACTAATTTGACCCTTACCAGAACCTTCAGTAAGAGCTTCACAAGACTAACGTGAGAGACTAATTTGACCCTTACCAGAACCTTCAGTAAGAGCTTCAGACTAAAGAGACTTGAGCTTCAAAGAGCTTCACAAGCCTAACGAGAAAGACTAATTTGACCCTTACCAGAACCTTCAGTAAGAGCTTACTACCGTGAGAGACTAATTTGACCCTTACCAGAACCTTCAGTAAGAGCTTCACAAGACTAACGAGACAGACTAATTTGACCCTTACCAGAACCTTCAGTAAGAGCTTCACAAGACTAACGTGAGAGACTAGGGGTTCCAAGCTCACTCGTCTCAACTCGTGACCCAAAACCTGAAATGGCTGAGCAACACGGCGACTGATCCACGCAGGCAAATTAGCCGAGACTCACCAGGCAGTGTCGTCGGACGTCCTGTGCTGAAGGGCGACAGTGAAGCCGAAGTAGGACTCCCTCCCCCAGTTGCTGTACTCGAGGGTGGGGTCTGTGTACACCATGGCCTTCGAGACCTCGAGATTAAAGCATGAGTATTGTGGAATGAGGAGGATAAGCAGGAGAGCGAGTGGCAGCGGTAGCAGCCGAGGTCCCTGCTGAGCCTCCATCTTCAGGTGT